TTCTTCAATGTTTCGATTCTTCAAATTTTCTTCCAGTTTTCAAGTTTTCGTTATCTCAGTTTTGCGATTTTTCAATATTTGAACTCTTCAATTTTTCGGTTTTTCGAGTTTACAATTTTTGAATTTTTTATTTTTTCGATTTTTCAACTTTTCGATTTTTCACTTTTGTTATTCAATTTAACGATTTCTCGATTTTTCAGTTTTCGATTTCCCAATTTTTCGACATTTCAGTTCTGGGATTTTTCAATATTTTTATTCAATTTTTCGATTTTTCGATTTCTCGATTTTCAGTTTTTCAATATTTCAGCGTTGGGATTTTTCAATTTTAGATTTTTCGATTTTTTTATTTTTCCGTTTCTCAATATTCGGATGTTCCAGTTTTACGATTTTTCAATTTTTCGATTTTTAAGTCTTTCCATTTTTTGATTTTTCACTTTTTGTATTCGAAATTTTCAATTTTTCGATTTCTCAATTTCTTGATTAATTGATTTTTATTCACATTTACGATTTCTGGATGTTTCAGTTTTATTTCCCAATTTTTCAATATTTCAGTTCTGGGATTTTTCAGAATTTTTACTCAATTTTTCGATTTTGCGACATCTCGATTTTTCAATTTTTCAATTTCTTGATTTTCAGTTCTTCAGTTTTCGATTCTTCAAATTTTCGATTTCACGATATTTTCATTTTTCGATTTCTCCATTTTCCGATGTTCCAGTTTTACGATTTTTCAATTTTTCGACATTTCAGTTTTGGGATCTCTCAATTTTTCGATTGCTCAAATTTTCAATTTCTTAACTTTCCAATGTTTCGACGTAATTTTTCGATTTTTCAATTTTTCAATTTTTGATTTCTAAATTTTGAGTTTTTCTCGAATAATCGATTTTTTTATTTTCCCATTTTTCGATTTCCGGACTTTTACAGTGTTTCCATTCTTCAGTTTTTCAATTCTTCAATTTTTCAACTATTCAGTTTTTTGACTTTTTAAAATTTTTGATTTTTTACCTTTTCGATTTCACAATTTTTCTGTTTTTCAATTTTTCGATGTTTCAGATTTGGGATTTTTCAATACCGATTTGAAATCTTCAATTTATACGATTATTCGACTTTTCAATTTTTTGTATTTTACTTTTTCAATTTTTCAATGGTTCGAATGACCGATTTTTTAAATTTTAAATGTTTCATTTTTTCAATTTTGAACATTTCGATTTTGGCCTATTTAAAGCTTCTAGGGTGCTTGATTTTCCGATTTTGCAATTTTTCGATGTTTGGATTTCTCGACTTCACATTTTTCGTCATTTGAGTTTTGAAATTTTTCATCTTTTAGAATTTTTAATTTTTCCATAATTCAATTTTCCGATTTTCAATTTTTTGCGATTTCCGATTTCTCATTTTTCGATTTTTCTGTTTTGATTTCTAAATTTTGGATTTTTGAATTTTTTCGATTTTTCATTTCTTTTTCGAATCTTCAATTTTTGGATATTTTAATTTTTCAATTTTTGAATATTTCGATTTTTCGATTCCTCTACTTCTCGATTTTTCAATTTTTCCGTTCCTCGATATTTCTATTTCTCATTGTAATTTAAATTTTTATATTTTTCGCTTTTTAGATGCCTCGAATTTTCAATTGTTCAATTTTTCAATTTTTCGATTTTTCGATATTCGGACTTCTAGAGTGTTTCCATTTTTTAGTTTTTCAATTCTTCAGTTTTTCAGCTTTTCAGTTTTTGAAGATTTTGATTTTTCAGTTTTTTGTGATTTTTTCAATTATTAATTTTCCGACTTCGACTTTTTGCCATTTCAATTTTTCAATGTTTCAGAATTGAGATTTTTCACTTTTTCGATTCTCCAAATTTTCTTCAATCTGTAATTGTTCGATATCTCAGTTTTGGGATTTTTCAATATTTGAACTCTTCCATTTTTCGATTTTTCGACTTTTCAATTTTTTGATTCATATTTTTTCGAATTTTCAGTGTTTTGATAGATCGATTTTTTTTTAATTTTTCAATTTTTTCTTTTTTTCAATTTTTAACTTTTCGACTTTTCGTTTTTGGCATAATTCAATTTTTCGATTTTTCGACTTTTTCGATTTCTCGGTTTCTAGGCTTTTCAATTTTCCGATTTTCTAATTTTTTGATGTTTAGATTTTTTGATTTCACATTTTTTCATCATTTGAGTTTTGGAATTTTTCGATTATTCAATTTTTCGATTTTCCAATTTTTACAATTTTCGATTATTCAATTTTTTGATTTTCAAGCTTTAGATTTTTGAATTTTTGAATTTTTCGATTTTCTGACATCCCAATTTCTCGATTTGTCGATTTTTCGATTTTTCAATTTTTAAAATTTTCCGTTCTTCGATAAGTCTATTTTTCATTGTGATTTTTAAAATTTTTCAACTCTTTAATTTTTCGATTTTACAATTTTTCAATTTTTGATTCTTATTTTTTATTTTCTCATTTTTCGATTTCCAGAGTTTTACAGAGTTTCGATTTTTCAGTTTTTCAATTGTTCAATTTTTCAACTATTCAGTTTTTGGAGATTTTGATTTTTCAGTTTTTTGATTTTTAAAATTTTTTATTTTCCTACTTCGATTTTTTGCCTTTTCGATTTCCCAATTTTTAATTTTTCGATGTTTCAGATTTGGGATTTTTCAATATTTCGGTTCATTAAAATTTCTTCCAGTTTTCAATTTTGGTATTTTTCAGTATTTGGACTCTTCAATTTTTCGATGTTTGAATTTTTCGATTTTACATTTTTTCGGCATTTGAGTTTTGGAATTTTTCAACTTCTAGACTTAATTTTTTCTAAATTTTCAGTTTTTCGATTTTTCAAGTTCTCGAATAATCGATTTTTTTAGTTTCCCATTTTTGGAATTTCGGACTTTTACAGTGTTTAGATTTTTCAATTTTTTAATTTTTCAATTTTTCAACTTTAGTTTTTGAAAATTTTGTTTTTGAGTTTTTTAATTTTTTAAATTTTTGATTTTCCGACTTCGATTTTTTGTCTTTTCGATTAGCCAATTTTTCAATTTTTAAATTTTTACGATGATTCAGATTTGGGATTTTTCAATGTTTCGATACTTCAGATTTTCTTCCACTTTTCAAATTTTCGGTTTTGGGATTCTTCATTATTTGAACTCTTCTCAATTTTTTGATTTTTTATTTTTTCGATGTTTCGATTGATCGATTTTTTTAATTTTAATTTTTTTCTTTTTTTTCAATTTTGAACTTTTCGATTTTTCAATTTTAGCCTAGTTCTCAATTTTTCGATTCTTCGACTTTTTCGATTTCCCACTTTCTAGGCTTTTCGATTTTCCGATTTTCCAATTTTTCGATTTCATATTTTTTCGTCAATTGAGTTTTGGAATTTTTCATCTTCTATATTTTTCAATTTTTCGATTATTCAGTTTTTGCGGTTTTCGATTTCTCCTTTTTCGATGTTTCAGATTTGGGATTTTTCAATGTTTCGATTCTTGAAATTTTCTTCCAGTTTTCAATTTTTCGATACCTCAGTTTGGGATTTTTCAATACATGAACTCTTACCTTTTTCGTTTTTTCGACTTCGCAATTTTTTGATTTATTATTTTTTCGATTTTTCAATATTTCGATGGCTCGATTTTTTTAAATTTTATATTTTTCCTTTTTTTCAATTTTTAGCTTTTCGATTTTTCGATTTTGGCCTACTTCTAGTTTTCATTTTTTCAGTTTTTCGACTTTTTCGATTTCTCGATTTCTAGGCTTTTCGATTTTCCAATTTTTCGATGTTGGATTTTTCGATTTCACATTTTTTCGTCATTTGAGTTTTGCAATTTTTCAACCTCTAGATTTTTCAATTTTTCGATTATTCAATTTTCTGATTTTCCAGTTTTTGATTTTTCAATTTTTCCGTTCTTCGATATTTCTATTTTTCAATGTGATTTTTTAAATTTTGCGATTTTTCGAGTTTTAGGTTTCTCGAATTTCCACGTGTTCCATGTTTAAATTTTTTCATTTATTATTTTTTCGATTTTTCAGTGTTTCGATTGATCGACTTTTTCATTTTAAATTTTTTATTTTTTCAATTGTTATTTTATTTCGAGTTCTCAGTTTTTCGATTTTTCGACTTTCTTGACTTGTCGATTTCGTGATTTCTCGATCTTTTGATGTTTCGATTTTTCGATCTTTTGGCTTCTAGATTTTTGGGCGTTTCGATTTTTCGTTTTCCAATTTTTCGATGTTTGTATTTCCCATTTTTCCGTCATTTTAGTTTTGGAATTTTTCAATTTCTAGGTTTTTCAGTTTTTCGATTATTCTATTTTCCGATTTTCCGATGTTCAATTTCCCGATTCCTTGGTTTTTGGATTTTTCGACTTTTCGATTTTTCAATTTTTCGATATTTAATTTTAGATTTTTCAGTTTCTCGATTTCTCAATGTTTTAATTTTTCCGTTCTGTTATATTTCTATTTTGACATCTCAGTTTTGCAGTTTTTAAAATTTTTCAACATTTCAATTTTGGGAATTTTTCAATTTCTGGATTTTTCAATTTTTCAATATATTAATTTTTCGATCTTTTGATGTTTTGATTGCTCGATTTTCCTGGAAAAGCATTTTTTCCCTTTAGTTATTTGGTTCTGTGGGAATTGCTGAAACGACACTCCAGGGGCGAGGAAAGTTCTGTGGAAATAACCTCCGACTAATTTTTTTTGCCATTTTATGTTCCGAGCGTGTATTATTTTTGAAAGATAACTTTCTTTTGTTGCTTTAATGAATAAATTTACATTCAAGACAATCCAAATTATCAAATTTTATCATTTACATTGCGTAAGACTTTGATCTTTGTATAGTTTTATCGCCTGTTCCAAGTCAGCAAATCTTTGTTTGCTTATTCTCTTGTAATAATCAAAATAACGTAAAAAATTAAATTTTGCTGGTCAGCGTTGTAAAATTCCGTTGTCGTTGATGCATTTTGAATTTTTCTTACATTCATCTAATTATAAAAGGCAATATTAAGTGTCGATCTTACAGTTTCTGTTAATCCCTCACAATGTGGTATTTAAATATTGCAATATTTGTGCTTTTTACCGCGGTTGTAGCCAATCCAGGCTCTGAAGTGAGTACTTACTTAATATTTAACTTATCCTTATAACATATTTTTTTAAACTTCATCTTTGTTGCAATAATAAGAAATAAGATAAAATTTGCAACCAACGGAAAGTTTCTTAAACACTGAAGATAATTTACTTGCCCCTTTGTCAGGTCGATGGTGTATATAGTATCAAAACGACAAAATATTTCCCGAAACACTGTAAAGAAATTCAAGACAATGGTAACTCCGTCTCTGGTGTCTACATCATCCAACCAGAATTTGCCCCAAAACCGTTTATGGTTCTTTGCAACATGGACAGCCACGGTGGTGGATGGACCTACTTCATGAACAGGTTCAACGGGGACCAGGACTTTTTCCGAAAGTGGAAAGACTACAAGAGTGGTTTTGGCAACCTCTACAACGAATTCTGGCTGGGGTTGGAGTATCTCCATTACCTGACAGGTCGGTATTTCTGAGACTTTCGCTTGACAGTTGACTTGATTTTGGAAAATTGGTAGGCTACGAAAGGAACCAGCTTTTGATAGAGCTAGAGGACTGGGATTCGAAGAAAGTTTACGCCCGGTATGACGCTTTCAGCGTTGGGAGCGAAGACGAGGACTACATAATGAGAACTTTGGGGAAGTACAGTGGTTCTGCTGGAGAAGCGTTGTGGTCGCACGGAGGGATGAAATTTACCACGACGGACAGGGATAACGATCAGTGGAGGGATGGAAATTGTGCGGTTTATAGAAGTGAGTTGTGGAATTGTAGTAAAATTAGATATTGTGTTTTGAGTTTTGTGGTTTTGCTTGTAGGTGCTGGTTGGTGGTACAATAACTGTGTGTTGAGTCACTTAACTGGTAAATATCTCAAGGAGAAAAGTACTTTAGAATCGTATACTGTGATGTTCTGGAATACGTTCCGTGGACCCTACAATTTGAAAGTAGCCAGGATGATGGTAAAACCTAAGTGACAAGTGAAATAAATTAAAAAAAATGTAATTTTTTGTCCTCAAATAAGTATAATAAAAAAGTTTTTAATAGGAAAAATATTACTCGGTTCTCCCCTGCTTCAGAAAAAGAAACACATATTTAGTATCAATTCGTGATAAAATTAGCAAAATACTGACGAAGTGTTTTGTGATTTTTATAAAAATAGAGAATGCCAACTAATACACATTCATCAATTTTAAAATTATGAAATTTATATGCTCAATTAATGTTCTGTTTTGGTGATAAACTATAGTTTATCACTTTTGGCTTTCACCACTATCTACCGTCAATATCTTCGGGTTATAGAGTGCGAGTGTTAAGCAACAAATGGGAAATAAGACAGAAAAAAGTTAGCACTAACGATAAAGTAATACTGTATTTGCTATCCAACGTCAAATTTGATACAATCTCAACATTTTCATCTCTAGTTCGGGTGTTACTAATTTTTTCGAAAACGTCTGTGTCGATTTTTCTTTTCTTTCTGTTTGTCGTCGTATCTGTTGCCTTGTCCGGTCTGTTTTTTTATATTTCTATTTGTCTTTTTGTGTATTTTTTTGTGTGCCTTTCTCTCTTTCACGTTGCTCTATGTCATTCTGTCTGTTTTTCCCTGTATTCTTATGTCCACTTCTTCTGTTTTTTCATTTGTCTTCCTGTCTGTCATCCTGTCTATTTTTCTGTTTGTCGGTCTGTCTCTTCCCTCTATGTTCTCCTCTCTGTCTTCCTGTTAGACTTTCTATCAGCCTTTCCGTTCGTTTTTCTGTCTGTCGTCTTCTCCAGCTATTTCTTTCTGTTTGTATTTTTGTTTTTCTGTTTATGTTTCTGCCTGTCGCTATCTGTTTGCTTTTATGTCTCTCTGTCGTTCTTTCTGTTTGTCTTTTGGTGTTTCTATCGGCCTTTCCGTTCTTCTGTTTGTCTTCCTGTCTGCTTTTTTCTCTTTCTGTCTACCTTGCTGTCTATTCTTCTAACTGGGTTTCTGTCTAACTGTCTTTCTTTCTTTAATGTCTTTCTATATGTCATTCTGTCTGTTTCTCCCTCTATCCCTTCTATCCCTTTTTGTCTTTCGGCACTTATATAACGCCCTCGTTTTCTATTCTTTCATTTGTCTTCCTGCCTACACTCCTGTCTCTCTTTCTGTGTACCTTCCTGTTTGTCGTTCTGTCTATTTTTTCTCTCTCTGCATTTCCGCCGGTCTCCCTGATTGTTTTCCTGTCTGTCTTTCTGTTAGACATTTTGTCAGGCTTTCCGTATGTCTTTCTGTCTGTGGTCTTATCCCGGCTATTTCTTTCTGTTTGTATTTTTATTTTTCAGTCTTTCTATATATTTGTTTTGTATTTCTGTCTATCTTCTTGTTTATCGTCTTGTCTGTTTTTCTGTGTACTTTTCTGCCTGTCTCAATATTTGTTTTGGTTACCTGTCTCTCTGTTGATCTTTCAGTTTGTCTTTTGGTGTTTCTATCGGCCTTTCCGTCTTTGTGTTTGTCTTCTTGTTTATCTTCTGGTCTGTGTTTATATTTGTCTTCCTGCCTACACTCCTGTCTCTTTTTCTTGCTATCTGTTTTTCTGTCTATTTTTCTAATTTGTTTTCTGTCTGTTTGTCTTTCCTTCTTTCGTGCCTTTCAAAATGACATTCTGTCTGTTTTTCCTCTATCCTTCTGTTCATCTTTTTGTCTTTCGGGCTTTTGATATGCCTCATTTTCTGTTTTTTTTCATTTGTGTTTCTATCTTTTTCTTTACCGATTTTCTGAATAACATTATTTTTCTCTTACTGCTTTTCTGCTCTGTTGTTCTTTCTGTTTAAATTTTGGTGTTTCTATAGGCCTTTCCGTCATTCTGTTTGTCTTGTTGTTTATCCTCTGTTGGCTTGCCCTATTTCTTTTTGCCTTTTCTATATATTTTTCCAATTAGTTCTGTCTGTTTGTCTTTCTTTCTTTACTACCTTTCAATATGTCATTCTGTTTGTTTTTTTCTCTATCCTTCTGTCCATCTTTTTGTAATTTGGCCTTTTCATCTACCTGCTTTCTTTTCTATTTTCTGGAGAAATTTCAAAATTCTCACAAAAAATTGAAAAAATAAAAAATCGTAAATTAAAAAAATTCAAACCGAAATTTCAAAAAAAAAAAAATTCAAAGAATTGCAAAATGAAAAAATTGAAATCGAAACATTATATGTTCTAAAAATTGTATAACGAAAAATTAAAAAAATATAAAAATAAAAACACTAAAACTTAAAAAATTTTAAAAATCAAAAATTTTAAAACAATAAATTGATGAGACGAAAAATTGAGAAACTAAAAATTGAAAAATTTAGGAATTGAAAAAACGAAAATTCAAAATAGGAAAATATTGAAGAATTTCAAAACTGTAAAATTGAATCAAAAATCGAAAAGCTAAAAGATTAAAAAATTGTAAAATCGGAAAATGAAAATTCGAAAAACTCCAAACTGAGAAATTGAAAAACGGAAAATTTGTAAAATTTAAAACCAAAAAATTGAAAATCTAAAAATTCCTTATTGAAAAATTGAAAAATATTGAGGAAAGGAAAAATTGAAAACTCGGAAAATTACAAAATGAAAAATCCAAAATTAAAAAATCCGAAAATTGAATCTCGAAAAATTAAAAATTCGAAAAATTGAAATTTTGTTCTTTCGATTTTTCGAATTTTTAATTTTTCGAGGTTCAATTTTCGAATTTTGTATTTTCGGGTACTTTTCATTTTGTAATTTTCCGAGTTTTCAATTTTTCAATTTTTCAATTTTCAGATATTTCCATTTTTCGATACTCCGTTTCCCAGTTTTTCAAGAAGCAATTTCTAGATTTTTAATTTTTTGGTTTCAATTTTTCATTTTTACAAGTTTTCGATTTCTAGGAACTGAAAAAACGAAAAATTTAAAAATGGAAAATTAAAAAAACAAAAAATTAAAATATATAATATCTAAGAATTGAAAATTCGAAATTTTTTAAAAATTGAAAATCGAGAATAAATAAAATCGAAACATCGAAAAATTAAAAAATGCTAGAATATGAAAATTGTAAAATTAAAAAGTTGAAAAATCGGAAAATTGCGAAACTGAAAAGTCGAACACTAAAAAATTTCAAACGGAAAAATCGATAAAACCTCTGAAATTAAAAAAATGAAAAACTGAAAAATCTTAAATCAAAACGAAAATTCGAAAAATCAGAAATTCTAAACATTGCAGAATGAAAAAAATTGAACCCAAAAAATTGTAAATCGGAAAATTAAAGAAATACAAAACTGAATAAAGGAAAATTTGAAAAAAAATTTTTTTAAACTAAAAATTGAAGAAACAAAAATTTGAGAAACTAACTTTGAAAAAAAAAATCAAAATATTTGAAAAATGGAAAATTGAAAAATGGAAGAATTTCAAGATTGTAAAATTGAATCTCGAAAAATTAAAAATTCGAAAATTTTCAAAATGCAAAATCAAAGGAACAAAAATTAAAATAATACCTAGGAATTGAAAATTCGAAATTTTTTTTAAATCGAAAATCGAGAATAAATAAAATTGAAACATCGAAAAATTAAAAAATGCTAGAATGTCAAAATTGTAAAATTAAAGAGTTGCAAAATCGGAAAATTCCAAAACTGAAAAGTCGAACAGTGAAAAATTTCAAACGGAAAAATCGAAAAATGGGGGAATTTAAAAATTCTGAAATTAAAAAAATGAAAAACTGAAAAATCGTAAATCGAAACGAATTTTTGAACAATGAAAAATTCTAAACATTGCAGAATGAAAAAAGAAAAAAGAAAAAAAAATTAAACTAAAAATTGAAACAACAAATTGAGAAACTAAATTTCAAAAAACGAAAGTCAAAATGTCTGAAAATTGAAAAATCGAAAAATTGAACAATAGTCAAAAAACTGAAAAATAAAAAAAAAATTTAAAAAACGGAAATTAAAAATTCGAAAAACATCAAAATTGGAAAATTGGAAAACGGAAAAATTTAAAAATTATAAAGTTAGAAACCCGAAAAATTGCAATCGAAAACTTGTAAAAATGAAAAATTTAAACCAAAAAATTGAAAATCTAGAAATTGAAAAATTGGGAAATGAAATATCGAAAAATGGAAATATCTGAAAATTGAAAAATCCAAAAATTGAGGAATTGAAAACTCGGAAAATTACAAAATGAAAAACCCAAAAATATAAAATTCGAAAATTGAATATCGAAAAATTAAAAATTCGAAAAATCGAGAGAACCAAAATTTAAAATTTCTAGGAATTGAAAAAACCATAAATTTCAAAATGAAAAAACAAAAAAACAAAAAAATTAAAATAATATCAAAGAATTGAAAATTCGAAATTTTTTAAAAATTGAAAATCGAGAATAAGTAAAACTGAAACATCGAAAAAGAAATTAAAAATGCTAGAATTTTAAAATTGTATACCTAATTAAAAAGTTGAAAAATCGGAAAATTGTAAAATGGTCAAACTGAAATTTCGATAAACTGCAAAACTGAAAAGTCGAAATTCAAATTGAAAAATCGAAGAATGGAAGGATTTCAAAATTCTGAAATTAAAAAAATGAAAAATTGAAAAATCGTAAACCAAAATGAAAATTCGAAAAATCAAAAATTCGAAAAATTGCAGAATGAAAAAATTAACTAAAAAATTGTAAACAGAAAAATTAAAAAAATACAAAACTGGCAAAGGGAAACTTGAAAAAAAAAAATCAAAAATTTTAAAACTAAAAATTGAAGAAACGAAAAATTGAGAAACTAAAAATTCAGAAAACCAAAATTCAAAATGTCTAAAAATTGAAAAACTGTGAAATTAAAAAATAATCGAAAAACTGAAAAATTCAAAGAAATTGAAAAAACGCAAAAGTGAAAATTCGAAAAACTGCAAAATTGTAAAATTGAAAAACGGAAAAATTTCAAAATTATAAAATTAAAACTCGAAAAATTTAAACCAAAAATTTGAAAATTTAGAAATTCCTTATAGAAAAATTATAAAATGAAAAATCCAAAAATAAAAAATTCGAAAAATCCAACGAACCAAAAGTTAAAATTTCTAGGATTTACAAAAAACGATAAATTT